GCTATCGATATTACAGTAGTATTTATTTGTTATTTTTTTTCTTCTAGTCTGTGGACACGTTTCTTTCTAATAAACTCCTTCCGATTTGTATATGTGCCTATTTTTCTGTAAGCACGAAGGTACTTTTTAGATTATTAACGCCATGTTTCAAATAAAAACACTTAAAAAAAAAAAAAACATACAATTTATCTATTTTATTATTTTATAAAAAAAAGGACGACGTTCTCTACGAAAATAGCTCGTCCATGTATTAATCAAAAAATCACAAAATAACTTTCAATTGGTAAAACACCAGATTTTTGAGCCACTTTTGAGCTTTTAAGGAATTTTACTTTAAGATAGAGTTTTTTATCGGAAAATAAGCTTTAATCCGAAAAATAACAATGTAGCCTTTTCGTGGCCTTTATGATTTACTTTCAAACGGTATCAACTTCATTAAGAAGAGTCTTTCATCAAACAATGATATATCTGTAAGAAAAGATATATCATTATTTTGACATATTTAATATTTTGGGAGGGATTTGACTATAATAAAATTAATTTTAATAATAGAATAATATTAAAACAACTGTAATTTGTTATTAATTATTACAAATAGTAATAACAATTACAACCTCCTAATTATAGTCATATCAAAACATCAAATTGTACAAGTATTAATCGGCACATAATAGATATGTAGGCACCTATATTATATTATGCATGACTAATATCATACGTAAATATTTTGTACAACAATATTATGTTATCATAAGTCTTTATTAATAAAGCATAATTTATAATTTATAGTAAACAAAAAAAGTGAAAATTTCCATAATTTTAGTAATTTTCCATTTAAAATAAACACGAAAAAACATTTATTGATCCTGTATCGAGTAGGCAGTGAACCTAGCGGTAATTTTAACTGCAGTAATTTTTTCAAATAATTTATCTTAGACCGTCATGTGAAAGTGATAAACCATAATAAGTTGTATAATGGTATAAACATTATAATACTACATTCAAGTTAGGATTATAGTGTTTCAATGATTTTAATGATTTCAGTAGTACAATATTTTATATTTAAACATTTAATAACTTTAAATTTTATTTTAATATAACTGATTTTGTCTGATTCAAATCAAATTTTGTTGAATACGTAATTTACAAACTTGGCAATCTAAACCTCTAGCAAGAACATTTGACTTATCAGTCGACTACTACTATAACGTAACGTGTAGCAATTATTTTTGTCAACTGGAATCATACCTATATAGTAAATATAAATTGTTAAGACCGTAACGTTTATCTAAAATTTATTAAAATCAAAGCATAAAATTAAATTTGTGTCTCCTAAGAATATCGTATTATTCGCGTATCTATTTCCGATTTATTGCAAATATGCTGTTAAATTGTATCGTTTCGTATGTTATTAGTTAATCTTTTATGTTAGTGTCAGTACACGGTGATGGTGAGTTTGGTCCTGATTTGCCACAACAAGAGCTCCTTTTAAATCCATATTCCTCTGATGGTCCTGGCAATCCACCTGTTCCCAATTACCATGGCATTCCTTCTAACAATAATCACATTACCAATAAACCTGGTTAATTGAGCCACTTCTAACTATTAAATTGTTTACACCTTCTAACCACTAGAATATTGGGATGGCATTAATTGCATATGCTATAATAATAATATATTATAAAAAACCTGCTTTGATAATTATATAATAACTTTATTTTAGATTTAAAAAAAACACTAAAATCAATATTTGTCCGCACAGTCATTGTGTTATATGGTTTTCTTTATTGACGAAATAAAATAATTTTTAATTTCTATTTTTTGTTATATTGATTACTTGGGTCAGTTGTTAATCTTCATATTACCTCTGAAGATCCATCGAGACATTAGTTATTGGTTCGTGATATTAAAAACCACAACTCCAATATTAAGACAAAACAATTACTTTCATTGTATTTTTTTTTTTAAATAAAATACCTCTTTATTATTAAACTATATACGAGTCCTAGGTAAATGAAATAATATAAAAATACGAATTTAAACGTTGAGTACTCTGAAAATGTGTGTGTAAAGAACAATATATGGTCTTTAAAATAGTTTAATGCTTTAACATTCATCAAATGGTTTATTAGAAGACGTTTATGTTTTTTTAAAATATTTTGCACATTATACATAACATAACACACATTTCCTCCATTTCCTTCTGGCATGAGAATTAACACATTACTTAATT